ATAAATACATAACCCTTTAGTGACCATAGTTTTTTAAGCATAGACACACAGACCAAGCTTAGCAGCGCCAATTAACTTGATAATAACACTATGACTAATTTTTCTGACTGACGACAGTTCTGAGAACCAGCAGCACATTCCTAGTTCTCAGTTGCAAGGATATTTAACGTTCTCATGGCAAGGGGCATTTTACATTTTGTCTTATAAAGCCATATTACAGCCACAAAGGGGGCTTTAACTGCCTCCCGGCCAGCCGTTGTACTTACACGGCCTGCCGGGACCTTCTTGGATGTAAGCGGGCGTGCTAGTACGTCCTGCCCCGCCCCCCGCTCAGGCACGCCCCCCGCGCGCGCACGAGCCGCTTACTGTGCCCGCACTGTCCATTGGACAGTGCTGTTTCCATAACAAGGTATAGAGTCAGTGAAATCTGCTCTATACCTTGCGATCTGGCTGTGCCAAATCACAGCTGTCAAAAAAGTAAACAATGGCTGCACATACACATGGATAAAGCACTGGGCTGACTGCTAGAACCCCTTTTACAGGAGTTTTGCCTTTTCTACTGATTTACACAAGCACCAACAAAATACATAGAATGGCAAATCTGTGGAATGATGGAGGCCAAGTAGGGATGCGGTCAACAGCAATGCATGTTGCTTGCTTATCTGTGAGACTAGAAATATGGAAGTTGCTATGTGTTAATTTCTCCTAAAGGGACCCTGTTGCTGAAAAAAATGTTAAATAAATAACTCCTGTAAAGGAAGAGATTTTCCTGGTCCAGCCCCTGTTTTTGGAACCTTTTCTTTGCTGTATAGCTGTGCCACCTGAAGAATCCTCACATCCAGCCTATTTATAGGTGTGTTGAATGCCAGTGCTCCCTGCTGCGATCTGTGGTTCCTGGGCCCCAGCGTTGCTACAGGGTACAGTAGTGACTTGGTGCTGGCTGGGTGGTGTACCTCTGTTTCAGATGGAAGGTTTCACATACAGGCACAGGGCAAGGAACTTAGATTGTTTCATCATTTACATGTGCTGTATGCATTTTTTTTTCAGCACCAGGGTTGCTTTAAGATGATGTTGGCCACACCTAAAACATGTGTAAGTCAAAGAATCGGAATAAAAACATAGTTTAGTAGAGAAACCCCTAATGCCTATGATGAAAACTGTCACTCATAAAAATAGGTTGCTAAAGTACCATAAAATCATCTACAATTGGGTCACATGAATTGCTCAGGTTCTGATTTAGAAAAGCTGCCACCTAGGAGTAGGGATCACTTTAGAGGCTCACGTTGGTAATAAACCACTGGGTGAAGATTTTCTCTGCAAAACACTCAGACATAACATGGAGAGTTATAATGCTGTCAATCAACCCTTATTGGTGGAAAGAAAGCTTGAAAGGTATCTGCCACCAGAGGGATTCACCTTTAGTGCACACTCCGAATCTTGGGGGAGAAGCACTGATGCAGCTGGAAGGTTCCTTTTAAAGGCATGGTGGGATGTAAAACAAGGGGCACACAGTGCACATGGGCAGGTAAATTGCCTATGCCGAAACTAGACATTAAAGAGGGTACCTTCAGTAAATGAAAGTACCGTAGCCAGTCTCCAGATTCTAGGCTTATTTCATAGGCAGAGTGATTTCGAGTTTGAAAGTGCCTTCATAGTTCCAGTGCCAACATCACTTGTTAGAGTGGCTACAGCAGTGGCATCAGCTGCTCCTTTTCTCTGCTTCTCTCACTTACCAACAATGTATGGGGGGTCATTTCCCTCTCATTTACAATGTAAGAAAGCAGTTCTCTCACTCATTACTATTGCAAAGGGATACTTTCCCCTCCTATCTCCAAAGTAAGGGGGCACTTCCCCAATGCAAGGTGCACTTCTGCATTGACCATCAATATAAGGGGGCAGTTCTCCCACTGACCACCAATACAAGTGGGGACTTCTACACTAACCACTTGTATAAGGGGGCACTTCTCCATTGAACACCAATGTAAGGAGCAGCTTACCCACTGATCATCAAGGTAAGGGGCAGTTTTCCCTGTGATTACAAGTCTAATAGGGCAGTTGTCCATTGACCACCAGTATAAGGGGGCAGTTCCTCACTCATCACCAACGTAAGCTGACACTTTTCCCTTGACCGCTAATGAAAGGGAAAAAAATCCAAAGAAATCACCAATGTTAGGGGGAGGCTCTCCACTCACAAACAATATAGGTGCTTTTCTATTTCACGTTACTAACTTAAATAGAATGAGTTGCTAATAATGGTGATAATAGAACACTACACTTTAAAACGCTATGTGCATGTGATTTTTAGATAAAATGATACATTTCACATTATTTTTATGAGCTTTTATATTTATATATTTACAGCATACCTTCAAATCTACCCTTTTGTATTATTATGTATTTTTACTTATACTGTCAGTATAATCAGCAGTAGTCAGTAATCAGCAGGCACGATCCCTGAGCCAACTAGATTATATGGTCAGGCAAATGAATAGAAACAAATGGAACATAAAACCATTAGGGTTTACTACAGCGGTAAGTAGGATAGTGAAGCAAAAAACATCAGCATAGAGGAGAAACAAGGAAATGGAAAGTGTATCTGATGGAGAAGTGTATGAAAAGTAGTCCAATCACATAGGGGAATCTAGCTCAATCCATTAAGAAGGGTATCGATGTTGACTAATCTTTTAATTTTACGTAATCTTTTAATTGATCTCTTCTAACAGGAGAAGTTCCCCTTGACTGACAGACAGCTAAGACTGTACCTATACACAAAAAAAGTAGTACAAAGAAGAAGCTGGCAGCTACTGGCCAATGAATTAGACATCTCTGTAGTAGTAGAATTGATGGAGTCACTCTTAAAAAGATCATTTAAAAACTCACAACTTGCTGGATGCCAAAATAGCATGGCTTTACTGAGGGCGATCTTCAGACGAATTTAAATACTTTTGTGGACTATAGCACAAATGTTTTAGACCAGGGTTGTGCAGTGGACATCGCCTATCTTCATCTTAGCACACTATTTGATATGATTTTACATAAATAAATTGTACAAGCTAGGACTTTAACCTTGGGTAGTTCAGTGGATATGCAGTTGGCAAAGGGAAAGATATCAGAGTGTAGTTGTAAATGGAGTTAATTCCAAACAGAGACCAATCACTAGTGGTGTACCACAAGGCTTTGTACTGGGTTCTGTTCTACTTAATCTTTTTGTAAATGAAGGTTTGGTGGGTAATTTTGGAGGTTATTGCAACATAGAACACGATTTGGCATTGCGGGAAGATTAGTCAAAACAGGGGAACACACTTGCGGAAAAAGAATCCCCTGGCCTCATTTAAAATACTGTGACCATTTCTGGAGACCTCACTCACAAAAAGATATTGATGAGATATAACAGGTGCAGAGATAAAACATGGCAGGAGAGACTATGCGACTATAATACATAATACATTTTATGTACAGTCCTAAAGAAAGAAGGCAAAGGGGGATATAACTTCATGATATGTCGGACCAAATGAATTTTAGAAACATACAAGCAATGTATATTTAAACATATCCTCTGCAGAGATCTGTTTTGTTCTATTATGTTTGTTTTAAATCATGAATGTATGTATAATAGTATTTAACATAATACATTTTGAAATAATATTTTAACATATTTCTCTTGGGCGGTCATTTACACCCCTCCAAAAACCCTTCTATTTCCTCAATTTGTCTTGAAATTATGTAATTAGGGGGAGAGGTGTAAAACTAGGTGCCCACAGGGAGACAACCCAGGATTTAGTAAATCCTATTTAAGTCTAACCGTGGTAGTTTGCTTACTGCAAGGGAGTACCCATAGATAACCTCATCATCATGCTGCTTCTTTTTCATTATCCATTCATTAGGCTGTGGGAGGGCAGGGGAGGTGGGGAAGGAGAATTGTTTATCTGTACTTGAGAAAAGTAAGCTCACCGCAGGGGCGTCCCGAGGCTGGGTGACACCCGGAGCGGTAACCGAGTGTCACCCCGCTGAGACGTCACTGCGCATGCGCGTGACGTCACCACACACGTGTGCGATGACGTCATCGCGCACGCGCGGCAGTATTCTGATACCTGCCGGCGGCCATCTTGGTGATGGACACCGGCAGAGCGAGGAGGGGACGGTCCCCCCCTCTCTCCTGATACTGTCGGGCGTTCGGTCCATGACCGAGCGCCCGACTTTTCAGAGGGGGATGACACCAAAATTTTGGTGTCACACCTCCAATGGTGTCACCCGGGTGCGGGCCGCACCCCCTTGTGACGCCACTGGCTCACCGGCCTTGCTTTGCAGTGTCGCAGGGGTGTTTAAATGTGGTGCTTGAGTCCAGGTAAAGAGATGCTTATTAATAATACATTAACCTTTTGGATTATGGTTGCTATAAAAATAATTACTCTTAGATGAGCTGTGACACAGTAAGCTTTTGATCTACCCTGGCTTGTTTATCTGTGTGTGCCTGCTAAACACAGGTTGTCTTTGAATCAGATTTGCATTTCAAGAGTATTTTTTAAGAATGTTTTTGCTGTACTTATTGCAGAAAACCCAGAATGAGGTAAATAGGGTTAGTTAGGAAGAGCTGGATCTAGAATGGAAGGCCATTTATATTTTTGATATTTACTTCATAAGCATATGATGATTGTTGTGGTGGTCCACATTCTAGGCAAAAATATGATATTCATAAATAAATATGCAATATAAATAGCAATGACCTTTTGTTATTGATTCATGTTTTTGAAAAAAAAAAATAATGCACCGTGGAATTGTGGTATAGCAGAAAATTAAGCCTTTTTGAAGCGATGTTCTTGTAGGTCTCTGGCTTCTGGACATCAGCCAACCACCTCTTCATCTAGTGACCCTGCCTCCAGCCCCTGATAATAAACTTGTCCTCAGCTGAAGGGTAATGAAACATGTGGCATATTTTATTCTAATTTATGTTTTTTGGCCTTGCATGGGGAGCTATTTTTACATGATAGAAATAATTTCAGGATAGATGTAACTTGGGGTTCAGATGATAATAACAAGAAGACCATTGGAGTGAACTGTCCTCTGTGTGGTCAGTTACTGAGATCTAACACAGTAAATGTCACTCCAACATTTTTTTTTCAACACTATGCTTTGCACCCCACATTATGCATTGTGGTACGCTGCGGTATGTTCTAACCACAATTACATTTTAATGGGGTTTCATTTAAAATGAATAGTGCCACACATACACTTTATGTTTCAGTGTGAGGTAAAGCATGCAATACCATCCACATTACCACAGTGCGGTATGGTGTGATCAGGCTCCTTAGACCTGATCAAATAAAAGGGAATTATGTGTTATCTCAGTTTGCTCTACAACACCATTTATAGCTAATTACAGTTAGATAGGGAAATGATTATATGTCTGTGATACGCTGTGACTTCTTCTGTATACACCCCCAAGTCATCAGTCTTGAATTGATTGCCCATGCTGGACTTTTCAAGCTAAGCACTATTATTGTGAAAGAATTAGGGATGCTCCGATAGCTTTTTTAAGACCAAGTACGAGTGCCAATACCAATTACCGATACTTTTTCTTAAAGGGACAGGTCACATTTTTTCTAAAGCAATACAAAATCATGATTTTAGGTCAGTTTCTTAATATTATGAAGAACATGAAATGAACATGAAATTAATATTTATCATGCCATTGCTAACTAAGGCTTGTATCCACCCATAGTGGGGAAAATAGATGAGCACATGCCCAGACTCTAGACCAGAACACTGTATAATGTGGCACAGCTATAACCAATTCTGCATACCTGGCTTTATATTATAAGAACTTTATAATATAAAGCCAGGTATGCAGAATTGGATATAACTGTGCCACACTATACAATAATACACTGTTCTGGAGTCTGGACATGTGCTCATCTATTTCCCCCACTATGGGGGTACAATGTGCAGTTTGCGGCCATCTTGTTTCCTTGAAGACGCTATGGAGCTCCTGTGTGCGGCGGTTTCGGGTCCTTGAAGATGGTGGACGCGGCACAGGTACTCGTTTTTTGTATCGGAGTATTTGCATGAGTACGAGTACTCATGCAAATACTCGGTATCGCCGCCGATAGCGATGCTTAAACAAGTCAATTCCTTCTGATTACATAAACCATTTGCATTATTGTTTTCCTACGTAAAGACAAACATCGGAAAAGCATAATTTTCCCATACTGGAATACAATGCTGTAGGGCATGGCACATATCAGAACTGGCAACTATCTTCGCAATTTCTACATTTAAAAAAATAAAGATAAAATCATTTTCTTAGGAAAATATTTTTATTGGCTTCACATGAAACACTACCAGTATTTATAATCTCTGTATTTTTATGATTAAAAACACATAAATATGAATCTTTTATCTGTAGGGTTTTATCTACGAACTGTAAGCATGGGTACATTTCCATGCAGGAAACCGATTCAAACACTTTCCATAAAAATGGCTTAACTGTTTTTCACTACAGTTAGTGATTTAACATTACTGGCATGTAGCTTTACCTGATTAGAATGCTCTCGTTTGAATTACTAGATATGAAAAAATACATAAAAATATTTGTATACTTAAACTGTACACCAGGCAGCCGAATGAAAAACATGAATATCATTTCAAATATATACTTTTCATGTTCACTCTAAAACAAGCAAATAAGGCATTTTAAAAGAAACATGTACTAAGGAAATATAGAGGTTGCATTCCTAACCTACTGAAAAAGCTAGTTGCTTGGCTGCTTTGTTCATCAAGTCAAGTCACTCACCTGCAACAAGTATGCAGAGCAGAAGCTATGACTTTAGTCTGACTTTGGTTGCTAAATGCTTGCTCTAGGTCAATGTTAGACATGTGCGATTCGTTTCGTTCCGAATCGAAATTCGGACGAATTTTCGGAAATTCAGACATTCGGATGTATCCGAATTCCGAATTACAGACATAACGAATGCAAACGAATCCGATTAGAGAAGGAGAAAAATATTTTTTCCCCTTCAAATGTCACTTTTGCTGCAAACGAACGAAACGAATAAGAAACGAATAAGAACAGAAAGCGAAACGAACGTTCGTACTAACGCTACCGAATTTCGTCCGAATCCGAATTCCGAATCCGAATTGACTTTCACACCCGAATCCTGAAAAACCAAATAACACAAATCCGAATTTAAAACGAAACGAAACTAAAAATATTTTTTGGCAGGGCACATGTCTAGTCAATGTACTGATGCCAGAGACAACTAACATTTTCAGAAATGGAAGCTTTCATATTTACATCAGTATGGGTTTGCTTTATCGTAAGCCTGTCGGTATGCCACTGGCACTAAATAGGCTACAGTACTGCAATGCAGGCATTCAGCAGTTTTTGCACATACCTTCAGCTGTCTTCTTTAGCTTCCCTACTGATGCTGCTGAGAAGTCATCCACATTGCCAGCAGTATAACAGCCTATCCACCTCGCTCTGATCCTGCTCTGGGATTGGTGGTTGTAGGCGCTGTCCTTACTTAGGCTCCTCCATATTGAGTGGCGGCGAAGGGTCATGGGGTTGACTCTTAAAACTGTACTCCTAAGACATAGAGGGACCCAGTTGTCTTTGCCACATTTGTTGCAAGGTAGACAAGCTGTAAAACTTGTGTAAAAAATCATGCATCCAAAATACTCATAACATAATAATTTGCATTGAAATGTTGATTTGCCATTTTAGCTCCCGAAAGCCATTTGGGTCTGGAAGCCTCAGCTTTAATATGGCTCCCAACCCTGTATTGCTTTCAGGAGCTCCCGAATAGTATTCGGAAATGCAGACTCCCGAAAGCCATTCGGGTCTAGGGGCTTCAGATTTAGTATTAATATCTGTATATGGTTTTCTGTGGTATTTGTAATGAATATTCGTAAACTCATCCGAAACTAACGGAAATCCGGATTTCGTCTGAATCCGAAAACCAGAATCGAATTGAATTTCGTATGCGAATCTTGAAATAACGAAATATCCAAACCAAACCAAATTTTTCTGCAGGTTACATGTTTAATAAGAACCAAAGAGTGGCATGAAATTTGATTTCAGCATAATTTGAAACAAAATGGTTCCAAAAAAGATGATTTATTTGATTTGCAAAAAACCCAAGAAAGAAAGTTGATATCTAAGGGGTCTATTAACTAAGCTGCCGTAGGCAGCCGAGTGAATGACCGACCTAAAGCGAAGTGAGCCGAACACTGTTCGGCTATTCACTACAGGCTGGTACGGCTGGTTTCAGCCGTATATTGGCTAAAATCAGCCGTACATTGGGTGGCTTCGGGTCGGCCGAACATGCTCAGCATGTTCGAGGGACCGAGCAGAACAGAAAAATAGTTTAAAGAGTAGAAAAAAATAAATAGAAAACGATTTGTGCGGAGCTGGCAATGACTGCTAGCTCCGCCCAACTGTTTTCTATTGGCCGGCGGTTCTGCTGCTGTCGAAAAAAAAGAAAAAACTCCCGGGCGCTCCGGGAGTCCCCCACTCCCGGCTGCCAAGGAGAGAAACACTGCTTTTTTCTTTATTCTGACATGGAGCCGTGTCAGAATAGAAAAAAAAATAAAAAATACTGATATAGCTGCTCTACTTAGACTTAACTGTTATGCTTTTATAAAGTGCTGGTTTAATTAGTTGTATTTTTAGGCGACAGTAAAAAGTTTAACAGTGACAGATATAAAGACATATTGCTTTATATAACACATGGGTTCAGCTGATGTTAACATGATTTAAGTAGAATGTTACACTTTATTTGCACTTTTTTGGCACAGTGGTTAGTACTTCTGCCTTGCAGCACTAAGGGTCCCTGGTTCATATCCTGGTCAGGACACTATCTGCAAGGAGTTTGCATGTGCTCCCTGTGCTTGTGTGGGTTTCCTCTGGGTACTCCGGTTTCCTTCCACACTCCAAAGACATGCTGGTAGGTTAATTGGCTCATGTCTAAATTGGCCCCCTATGTATGTGAGAAAGGGACCTTGGATTGTAAGATCTTTGAAGCCAGGGACTGATGTGAATGTGCAACTATGTAAATTTTTGGAGCTATATAAATGGCAGTAATATTAAATACGTAAATTATATTTTCTTGCAAGCTCCTGCAGAATGTAGGATCTATGTAATACTTTACTTTAGTAAAATGTCTTCAAGTTCATACAGGTCCATATATCTATTCACTAAAACTGTGATACATTTATATTTAAGCTGTTGCTTCCATGTTATGGCAATGCACATAACTTTGCAATTCAGGGACAATACACGGTAATGTTTATTGAAAATCCTGCCCGCTGGTATATATAGCATTTTCTTTTTGCACCTTTGCCTGTGTGTTATGACAACTGTCCTTATTGGATGCCTGTCAGTGTATACTGGCTATCAATCATCAGATTAAATCCACAAGTCGACCAGCTCTTCAAAAAACTTTATTGAACACTGGGCACAAGACATGGCATGACAGTAAGAAGGTAAGGATCAATAGAGAGCCCAAGGCTACCTGTCAGTGCATCTGAATCATAAAACAGTATGCAGGATTGTATTGACATGGGATATGCAATGCAAAGAGCAAAAATAATGAAATAAGGGACATGTTTTCAACAGATAAGCGCCGTCAAGCTTATGAAATAAGATTTCAAAACTGATATAGATTACTTTCTGCATACAACACATTGCTTAACACTTATTAAATACATTCCAAGCAACAGATGCTTTAAGAACACAAGTTCCCAAGTGGCCATTGACATAAAAATTGACAAGGGATAAAGAGAATGATGCATGTACCATCGACCAGACAACGATATTTTTCAAACTTCTCTCCTTTAACCACCTTCCTATGTAACCTCATTAAAAATGACTTTTAACTATTTCCCACTGTTTCAGGACTTAGCAGATATGATGCTTTAGAGTTTTATAGAGAGCACAGATTGAAGTTTAAAACACTCGTCTCGTCTCACTCGTTTGAATTATGGGGTGATGCACTGTTGCATAGCAACTGCCTTAGGCGAATTGAAGCTGGACAAAAATGTTTTCCATGAATGAAGGGAACATTAAAGAACTAAACATGATCAAAGAGTGTGATAGCAAAACACATCTCCTGTAATGTGTATCATATGCTGGAGTGTATTCTATTTACAATATGCAGTTTCTGCTTAACCAGATCTGTAATTCAGTTGCAGTTATCCAAGCTGGCCATTCCAGCACCGGTCACAGAAACACATTTTTTCTCTTTTATTATAAACCTTTAATCACATATTTCACAGGTAAGCAAAATACGCTGTTCCTGATCATGATGGACATAAAATACATTTTATATGATTTTTACATGTGAGTGCTTTTGATATCAATCTCCTACACAGGTTTCATATGAGTCCTTTTGTCTCTTCAAATGCTGGATGGAATACTAGTAATACATATACATATATGTAGTACTGTAATGGTGTGAACTGTGACATGTTCTGTTGTGAATTAGTGACTGCAGAGTGTGGGTATTATCTACACATACCTGGGAACTTGCCAATAATGACCTGGCACTGCCGGAAGTTTGATGTGTTTGCTGGGTCATTACTGGAATCGGTAAAATCTCTGGAATGGCCCAGAATGTTTACAAACATGCTCCGGTGGCCAAAGTGAGTGAAATAGCTGTGTTCCCACAATTCAGAGAATGTGGTCATACATTGTAATGTTTAGCCAATCAAATATCATACAACTGCCATATCATATGGCAGTATCAGACCTTCCCTGATTGGCTACAGGACCAGAATGTCTTAAGGTTACAGATTACAATGAATGAGTACATTCTCTGAACTGTGGGAACTCCATTTCATTCACTGCGGCCACAGGAGCATGTTTTCAAACATTCCAGGCATCCACAGGGGGCAGAAGTGGAGTGCCCAGACTGCCCTTGTGCCACCACAGAGAAGATGGATCTAGCCAATAAACAGTATATATAGCCTATAAAACAGTACTGTGTTTTTATATTGCTATACATTTTACTGTAGACTTCAGACCTCCAATATGTAGGTATTTGATCACACCTGCCATTTAGCATGACCCATATAGACCAACACCCTACTCTGCCTCTATTCACATGAATTCGAATTTTCAATGGTATGTGTTAGGAACCAGAGCACCTGGTGCTGTGGTGTGTGGATCTGATGCATGCAGTTCCAGTGTCCACCAGTGAGTGTCTCTCAGCAGTCCTCTGGCAATTAGTCACCACCTGATGCTGGCTGCTTGGAAGGTATTAAGCCCCTTCTCCCTAAGCTCGCCTTGCCTCTGCATTGGTCCTGTGGCTTCTGATTCTGATCCTTGTGACCCTCTTGACCTGTCTCCAGACTCTGATTTCTTTGTCCCTCTTGATCCTGGCTCATGACCCTGATTTCTGTGTCCCTCTTGATACTGGCTCTCTTGTATTTCTGCTATTTGTCACCTGACTCTGCTTGTGCTACAACCTCTTTTCTGTTTTGTATATACCGTAGTTAGTTGTTAGTTTTACACTGCACAT